GTGTGTGTGTGTGTGTGTGTATAAATGTATGCATACACACACATATATATATATACAACTCTTATACAAAATATATACATATGCATATTTTATATTTATATATTCGTATACACACATACATGCACATATATATATGTGGGTGTATAAATGTATGCATGCTCATATACATATATTATAAATTAACTGATTTAAAATATGGTTTTTAGCCACACAGTTCTAACTATATACATATATATATATATATATATATATATGAGCACTGTTTTGTAAAAATATCAATAAGAACACCAGATTATATATCTTACTGTGCTTTTTTTTATTATATTATATATATATATATATATATATATATATATATATATATATATATATATATATATGTATACATGGATGTATGCCCATATAGAAATACATACATATATATATATATATATATATATATATATATATATATATATATTATAAATTAATTGATTTAAAATATGTTTTTCCCTACACAGTTCTAACCATGTTTCAAAAATGGAAGCTGAAAGCGTCGAATTTAATTTTGTAATTAAATTAAAGACATTAGTTCCATTTCATCCTCAAGCGAATTTTTCATCCTCAAGCGAATTTATATATATATATATATATATATATATATATATATATAATTTTCTGAAGAAGTAATGGATATTTTTAATTTATTAATCCAATAGATCTTTATCTCTTTAAATGTTATTTCTAGTGGATACTCATATTTTAGTAGATGTCCCATTTATTTATTAAACAGTATATTTATTTATTTTCATATACCAGCCTGAATATTCAAGAAATCTTAGTAAAGGAGAATATATGATCTCCAGCTGGATTTGAGCCTGTATCTCCCTGTGCAGAGGGAAGCCATTGTTAGATCCAATGTGCCTTAACTGATCCAGCCATGAAGACGCTTTACCAATCAAGCAAGATTTGAACAGTGTCTTTAAGCAAAATCCATCTTGTCACTGCAGGAGAGAACATATTTTTCTTTAATAAGATTTTTGCGAATCTTCAACCAGTGGCTGAAAATAAATAAATATACTGTTTAATAAATAAACTGAGCATCTTCTCACATATGAGTATCCACTGAAAACAACAAATAATGAATATTTTTCATACATAAAAACAAATGTAGGAAATTAAACTCATACACAACACTTCCCCTCATCAAGCACTCTCCACAAGATATTCAACAAAAACACACTAAAAATCAGCTACAGTTGCACCAAGGATACGACAAAATAACAAAAAAAACCACAACATGAAACAAACAAGAAAACCAGCTGAACAAATTAAACTCATGTATAACTGCAGAAGAAAGAACAAATGTCCCTTAAACAGCAATTGCTTACAGAACAATGTAATATACCAAGCCTCTGTAAAATCAGTAGATAACGAAGAAAAATATACATAGGAGTAACAGAAGGATCCTGGAAACAAAGAAACTATGCACACAAAATATCCATAACAAATAGTAAATAGGCAAACGGGACAATGCTTTCTAAACATATCTGGGAGATAAAAAAACAAATCACACCAAATATCTCATGGAAAATAAGTAAAACAACATCAACCTACAATAATCAATTCAAAAACTGTAAACTCTGCCCAGAGGAAAAAATAATTATAATTAACTTCTCAGACCAAAACAAACTACTAAATAAACAATGAGAACTCATCTCAAAATGCAGACATGATAATTTTTTACTATGTTTCTTAAAAAACAAAAATTATAAATGAACAAGAATAAATGAAAATAAATATATAAATTAAAATAAATAAACAAAAACAAGTAAAATAAATTAATTCACACAGATAAATAAACTAAGTAAATAATAAACAAATTAACGAACTACATACACACAGATAAACACAAGAAAACATAATAACAACCAATAATAAAATAATCAATATTATAATAAATAAAAAAGTTAACAACACTATAAATAGTCAAAAAAACTGCATTCAGATCCACAATTATTCCTACACAATGGCCCCAGAACATCCGTTAGAATAATACAATAGACTACCCACAATGCATCACTGACCTGTATATATAAATAGTCAAGCAAAAACACAATGCACATGGCCTGATGATTGTGTTTAGCATGAAACAGACTGTCGCCTCTGAGTGTTGACTTCAATGTCCACTTTTATATTTACATGTGGTGATATTGAGCACTTATAAATATAGCATACCATAAAACTATATTTTATCACATATATATATATATATATATATATATATATATATATATATATATAGAGAGAGAGAGAGAGAGAGCAAGAAATAATAATAATATATATGGACAAGGGTTAGAACATTTGCTTTTTGACAATGAAACTCAGGTTAGAATCTCACCATGGTTGATTTGTCAGGAAGATGGTAAATGGTTCCAGTATACAGCATCATTGGAAACCATATGGAAACCAAATGTAAACCACATGTTGACCTGAGCCTTGTGATTGAAAGTTGGTAGGATTGTTTGTCAATGGTTGTGCTAGCAGTTACAAGTTATTGTGGCCAAGGGTTTGAGTGTACTGAAACTTGTTGATCACTCTGGATTATATGCTCTCTCCCAGAAACTGTGGGTGTTGTAAGGGTGTTTTATTAAGACGGATCAAAGTCAGCAGTAAATAAATCAGTGCTATTGGTGAAAATTTATTTATTTCTCTATTGGATCATGTTATTTAAGTCATGGCAATTATGTGTAAACAATAATATCACCCAAATATCCATCAAGGCTTTGGCAGCACACCTTTACACAATGGTCAAAATTTTTGATGACGTCTCTGCATAGTTGCTCCTTGATCTCATCAATATGCCTTATTATCCTTCAGCTGTTGTATTGTTGTTGTCTTGTTGGCATAGACCTTACTTTTCAGATGACCCCAAAGGAAGAAATCTAAAGGCGTCAAGTAGCATGATCGTGATGGTCAATTGACTTTGCTGTTTCGAGAGATGATGTGATCTGGGAACTTCTCATTCAAATTCTGTTTGAACATCCATTTTTGTAATAGGCTTCAATAACTTTAACATGTTGTTTGATTGCTAAACTTTCCATGGTTGAAATTGCCAAAGACTCAAGTTATGTGAAATGTGAAAGAAAAAGAAAAAAATCATTAGACGCTTAAACTTAATTCACATTTAAAATCGGTCCAAGTTATTGGAACACCTTTTACAAGAACAAATGTGTATGAGCAGCTGTCTGAAACAGGGGTTAGTTTACTGCCCTAGCAGACAGGCATATTTAGAAATGATGTGCAATATAATATTTGAGGGTGGTGGTGAGTGAAAAAAAACTGTTTTATTGACAAGCAAATGTGCTAAATAAAATGTTTCGTTTTTTGGGGGGAAGTGGGTTGGCAAACCAAGTTTGAAGTTTTCTGAGGCTCTCTACAAGGTGCTGAATAGTTCTCAGCCCCTCTTGCCCCTAAAAAAAAAATTTCAGAAAATCTAACGCAATGATCAAACATTGAATTCTTTTTAAAGATACCTTTCCAATTTAAAATGAAAATTTTTCAGCACTTCCTCATATAGTCTCTTAGCATAAATACCTTTGGGAAGGCATGAAGCTACTTCTCCTTGTGCTCTGTTCCATTATCAGATATCTTGAAAAAAATATCTTGTCACTGTTGTACACAATTGTGATGCATGTTCTTAGTGCATATATCTATTGTACATTTAACAATTCCAGAAAAAACAATGAAACTCCATATGTGGATCGACAAACACATATATATATTGAAATATAACACAGAAAACAATCATGCAATGAAGTGTAATGATTAAGGGAAAAAAAAAACTTGGCTGAGTCACACAGAGAGATATGTATAATGTGTTACAAAAATCTGTGTCTGTGTGTGTGTTTGAAATGTGAGTAAAGTCATAGATTTGTGTGGACAGGCGAAAATAGCTGGACTCTATTAACGACTTGCGAGAAAGTTGATAAGAGTTGTTGGCAATGTTCTTTAACGTCTGACCACATGGTTAAGATGGGAGCTCTTGTAGATTATATCTTGACAGCAAAGAAAAAGATGATTGAAGAGAACAAGAGAGAGGTTTATTTGTGTTGTGTTTATATAAGGTTGTGTATCACATGACAGGCTCTAAGGCTTGTGCACAGGAAAATTATTCCTCGCATTCAGGTGATTTGATTGGCTGGAATTAACCAATCAACAAGCTAGTTTTGAGAAGATTAGCCAATGAATGCTTGCTGTATGATCTGTATATATGTATGTGTGGGTGATGGCGATGATGATCGCTACACAATGATTACCAGAGAAGATAGTGGCTGAGAAAAAACTTAGATAAATCATTCTCACATTATAATTATCTTAACTGAAGGAACTTGTAACATTAAAAATAGTTGATAGATCAATGTTAGCTTTAAAAGGGGCCTGCCAGTAGAATATTTAATCTGATGATTGGAAAGTATTTTTGGAAGTAAATTCACTAAATTTCATTTGGACAGGATGAAAAAATTGTTAGAATATTACGAAAAAAAAATTTTTAGTGTAATAAAAAAAAGGAATTGTTAAAATAATAAAAAATAAAATTTTATAAAAATAAAAATTAAATTGTTAGAGAGTAATAAGGCAAAGAATTTTTTTAGTGTAATAAAAAAGAACTTTTATGAAAACAAAAATTGTCAGAGCAATAAAAAGAAGAAATTTTGAGTGTAACAACTGTAAAAAAAAAAAGAAAGAAATGTTTTAGAAAAATAAAAAAAGAAACTGAGAAATAAATAAAACTAGGAAATTTCTAGAAAAATAAAAAAAAATTGTTAAAAAGTAAATTACTTTGATGATGGCGATAATGATGGTTTGGTTTTATTTACTCTTTTATTTTGGTTATGATTATTTTTCTCTTTGCCTTGTGGGCAAAATGTGTATAAGCAATGCTACCATAAGATGAAAAATTTTAATTAGTATTTTTACTAGGATCATGAAGAGAGCTTGTTTACAAATTCTTGTAAAACTGAATCAGTAATATTATTTTTGGTGCATAGATAGATAGATAGATAGATAGATAGAACATACTACAATAGATAGATAGATAGATAGATAGATAGATAGATAGATAGATAGATAGATAGATAGATAGATAGATAGACTGAGAGAAAGAGGGTAAGAACAAACTAGAGAATTTCGTCATGGTCATTAACCTTTATAAAAGTTTTAAGGTTTAATAATAAATAATCAATCATTAATTCCGTTGTGCTTGTTTATGTGCGTTATTGTTTGTAGTGAATTATGAATGTAAAAAGGAAAAAAAAGAAGAAAACGGAACTGCAAAAAATAAAAAAAAATACAGCAATAAAAAATACTTCGCGTTAGCTTCTCATTATTATGTTGGGCTTTGAGCCAAAGACAAGCCAGTCCCATGATAAGCTCGCGTCTGTGTGCGTGGAGAACGACTACATGTTACATATGTAACAACAAGTAACACTGTAACATGTATGTAAAGAGTAGATGGCTGGGTGTGGATGTGTTCTTTAGTGTGCGTGCACGTGAGTGAATGGGCGTGTCGGCGGGTATATGTGTGCACATGTATGTATGCTTTACGTGTGTCACCTTGTTAAAAAATAAAATAAAAAACAGTTAGCAAAATATGGGCATACATTGACTGGGCATAGATTATTTACTATTTTAGCAAAATTACTAAGGATCACAATAGTGGGATATCTAAGTTAAAAGTTAGGAATCATCTGGGACATTAGTTCGCTAAGCGCTACTCTATAGCAAGCGCCCTACAGGGTGAAGGTGGCGGAATATTATCAAAAGGGGAGATAACTCCTGCAAAGCTAGTGTCAGTCAGATTTAAGTTACAAATGCAGGCAGATTATCATCTTCGTCTCGTAGACCTTCTCTTGTAAGTATGAAAAGAAAAGAAAAACCTTTTACTGTTTTAAAACTTTTAACCTTCTATAAAATAACGTTGTCATCCCTTAAAAGCAATGTTCAAATGATGTAGAATGAAAATATAGCTTAGTTCTGGTCTTTCAGAGCGTAAGAATAGATCGAAAAAAAAAAGAAGCCTTTCCTTGATTTTGATTTGTAAAAAACAAAAAAAAAACAACGTTTTTTTTTTCTATGTACAAGAAAAATGTTTTTATATTTAAAATTTCTTTTTTTTTGTATTAGCGTTTTTTTTTTTTAACGATTTTCGGAGCATATTAAAAATGTGTTTGTTTTACTGTCAGAAAAAAAAGAAAAGATTTCACATTTATTTTGCTTTATTATTGTTGTTAAACATGAAAAAGTAGTCTTTTAGTTTTAAAGAAGGAAAGATAAAAGAAGAAATATGAGACAATTAACAAGGCATCATCATTAATAAATCCGGGAGTTTTACTTGGGAGTACGAAATCTCAAAATGTCTTTTTTTTTGTTTGTTTTTTATCCCCTCCTTTTCCACACGCAAAAAAAAATTAAGCTATTCTTCCCTTTTTGTTGCAATTTATAATGAAAAAAAAAAATAGAAAAAAAAAAAAATTATATTTTTCTCTATCTTTTCACCGTCCTTTCCTTTTTCTTTGACTCTTTCACACTTTTAAAAACACAGTTTTAGTCAGTGTCTAATGAATGATTAACTCTAATGTCATTATCTTTTTTTCTCTCTTTTTTTTTTTTTTTTTTTTTGGTTTTAATGTCCAGTTTATGTAATCAACGTTCAAAGTCAAATTTAAAATAAAAATATTAATAATAGTCATCGTCATGTAACGATAGTGGATCATTTCTTCAAATGCACATTTTTTTTTTACATTTAAAGACACTAGATAAGAATTATTCAGCTTCTCGTCTGTTGCAAAATCTTTTCTCAATGTAGAAACAAGAAATTTGGCATTGAAAACAAAAAAAAAAAAATCTGGGTCTGCGAGATTTTTTTGTTTGGTGTCAACATTTTTTCTTTTGTTCCTCCCACACATTTATTTATTTATTTATTTCATTCACCCCTTTTTTTTTGTTTACATTTATGTTGATTTTTATTATTTTTAAAATCATTTTTATATTCCAGATGTAATTTTTTTTTCTCAAGAAATATTTTGTTTGAATGTCAAAAAGTTGAAGATAGTAGGAATTGGTTTGTTTATCCTTTCTTAAGTTAAAAATAAAATGTTATTGTTGTGTCAGTTGAAAAGTGAATTAAAACTTCAACGAAAAACTATTTTTCAATAACATTTTTTAAAATAGCAATATATAAATTGTAACTTGTCAAAATGATTCCTTTTTTCTTTTTCTTTTTTTTTAGAACTTTTAATTTTAAACAAATTTTAAATTTATTTGAATAAATGAAAAATCGGTATTCCACTTGACTCTTGCTTGATCTTACTTAAATTGTTTTGTGACGTTTTCATTTCTTTTCTTTTTTTTTTTCATGATGCAAACAGTTTAAATATCGGCTTAAGGTTTGGTTTTTGCCACATTTAAATTTAAATCCCACAAAAAGGGCAGTGGCCATATTGTCTTTGGAGATCTCTGTTGGTCACACATTAAGAAAACAAACAAACGTTTGATAACATAAAAACTTAAGTCATAAAAGAAATGAAAAAAAAAAACTAAACAATAAAAAATGTGGACCCAAGATTAAAGAAAAGAACTTTTGTAGGCGGATATTCATATTGTTATTAAAATTTAAGTTTTAAACATTATGTGTGCAAATTAAATTTGAGCTTGATAAAATGTTTTTAGTTTACTTACTTCACCAATAATTCTTATCCTCCTCCTATGAAAATGAAATTATTCTTGAGTGTCTATTCTAAGAAACCTAAAAAAACAAATAATTATTATTTTTATTTTTATTTTTTTGTTTACACAGTTTTTTTTTTAATAATCATTTCCTTCCCTTTGCTTTCAACATTTTTTTTCTTTCACCAAAAACTGCATTCTTTTCCACTATTTTTTCCTCTAACCTTGACACTGTATTCAATTGTGAAACTTTCCTCCTCGCAACTAAACTTTGCTAAATTTGTGTTTCATACATTTCAGTTTATCGTAATTAGTCAATTGAGGTTGCATTTTACATTTTCAAAATTAATCAGTCACAATAATAAACAATAGTTATGATAATTGTGGTAAAATTTTTAATCTGAATTTTATCTACGTTTTTACAAAGTTTTGTTTTGTTGTGTGTAAAGTTGCGTTTAAATTTAGTTTTATCACGGGTGTTTTTCACAGTAAAAACAAAAAAAAACTTATTTGAAATATTCTTCTTAATCTTAGAAATGGACATGCGTCTGATGCAAAGTTCATACATTTTTACGAAATGTCTTTACTCCAATTTATTTACAGAAATACAAAGCGTGTTGATTTAGAACAGTCAATGAGTCTTTTGATCTCTAGCCGCTTCGCCTATCTTTTTGAAGAAAGGGAGTTGCTTGTGTAGATAAGCTAGCATTTTTGAGTTGACTGACGGCTGTCTGCTTTTTTTTTTTTAGATGGATACAAACTTGAATGATTTTGAATTTTCTCAAATCAACAGCAATTGTTGAAAATTCTTTATATATAATCTTACAATGATGTTTACCTTATACAAGGCCTAAGAGCCATTCGAAGTAAAGGATTACAGAGTAAGAGGCACAGATTATGTGCATATGTGGGCATGATAACAGTTCACTTTAGATGTGAACAGGTTAAAATTGTAGTGATCAGGGAAGTCGGTTACACAAAGCATAGGCATTCACAAATGATCGGAGTATACTCTTAGGCAGAGCATTTATGTAAAGTAGAAAAATTGTTGGACCAAAAAGTGATCTTTGGGAGATGTCTGCGTTGATCAGTTGGGCTTCAGAGGATTGACTGTTAACAACTACCTTTAGAGACTTACCCGTTAAGGACTATGATTGGGAAGACTCTTCTAATGATTCCATAACTAGAAAGCTTGTGCAGTAACCCTTCATGCCACACCTTGTCAAAGGCATTTGAAATATGTAATGGGATTGTCCTTGAGATGTATTTGTTGTCTAGTGTCTCACTAATTCTGTGAGTAATAGCAGTTAGAATATCAGCAGTGGATCTTACATCTGCAACTGTTTTTACAATTATTTTGTTTTTGGATTTTTCCTGGAGCATGTAATTTTTAAATTTCTTTTGAGTGGCTTCTTGACATTTTTCTGAAATTTTTACACACTAGCTATTTTAATTTTTAAATTTTGAATGACAAGCACATTAAAAAATTGACAACTTTAGGAAGGGCATCTTGTATAATATTTTACAAATATGCCTATCCTACATGGTACTTAACTGCATTTATTTATATATATATATATATATATGTATATATATATATATATATATATGTATATATATAATATAAAGACTTGGAAAAGTTTTGTAGCACATCTTTGATATTCAAGAACCAAGCACAAAAATATTCATATCATTTAATAATACAGAACATGAAATTGAATTCAATATTCAGTTTTCAAGAAATTCAGGAAAACAATTTTCTTTGGAAAAATATTTTTCTTAAGCTTTGTATTTAATTTCTGCTCATCATTCATATTTTGTAATGGAACAGTTGTGGGGAAATCAACTTGTTAGCTGCTTAGTATTAGTTATAGTCAATCTTGCTGAACTATTGACCTTGGCTTTTCCTTATTATTAGGTAGCATTTGTTTTTCCCTCATTGCATTGAAGGGTTAAAAAAATGTACACAGTCAATTTATATTTGGGAATATTATGCACTATATGTATGGAAGTAAGTATTAAATAACATAAAAATTCCTACATTGGTGGGATTATCTAGCTGTAATCAATTATGCTCTTATTTCTGTTATGAATAACAGAATTACTTTAAAATAAGTTTTTTTTTGCGGGGGGGGGCAGTTTTTCAGATAAAAAAAAACATGATACACTTCTACAGTTATGGTTATTTTCTATGATTAAATTTAATTAAAGTTAGTTTACAGTAGACTAGGTTTAAAGGTCTTTCTGTTGATTTTGGGTTACTAACATTACCATTAGTTTCATGTTTATTCTATAGTTTATGACTTGATCTTTGCTTATACAAACACACACAGACACATGCTAAAAGCTCATTTTCTTACAAATATTTAGAATTTTATGATTAAGATTTTTTACATGTTAAAAACTTAAATAGATATAACCTTATGGTTCTTTTTGTTGAATATTAGGAAAAAAGAGAAAAATTAGATTAAAAGCCTAAATTATAAAAATGACTTAAAAATAATTGAATAAAAACTTTGTAGTTAGCTTGAAGGAAAAATGTTCGAGTTAAAAATGACATTTGTAGTTTGTATCAAGTAAAAAAAAAAAAGTTATGGAAAGCTTTTCATTTTGGATTTGTTTTCCTAGTTAATTTACTTGTTTGTTAAATATTCCTGTTGATGCTGACTGTTTTCTCTGTAGAGAGATATGACAACACCCCCCACCCCAAGAAAAATGGGTACTTATTTATCTATAGATGTAAAGTATAGTAAAAAAATGATTTCAACATTAAGTAACTCAACAAGGGTTGATAGAAAATCTACAAGCCTCTTTTATTAAAATGTTAAAAGTTTAAAGAATTTTTAAAACAATAGTGTGAAAAACTTGTGATACTTATTGCAGTAATTGTCAAAATGTAACCTACCTTCAGCTGCTTTTCTCTGATGACTAAAGAATTAACTCTTTATTCTCAACACACCTAACCAATAATTGAGCATTTGTTTAAAGGCACCATCAGAAAATAACTGCAAAACATGCTCCTCTTTTTCTCTCTCTCACTCACTCACAGTAAACTATAATTGGAAATAGATTGCATAAGGCTTTTTGGTGGAAATCTATCCAAACTTGGAAATATCTTAATCATCATTCATTTTTTTAATTAATATTTTTATGCCAGCTTAAAAAAAAAATGAAAGTGATTATAATTCGTTTAATAAAGGCTTTTCTTAATGAATATTTAGTTTAATTAAGATTTATCAATTATCTGGAAAAAAGACAAGTTTTTTAAATATTGTCCTAGATGTTCACTTACTTTTGCACAGCACTATATATATATATATATATATATATATATATATATATATATTAGTATATATATATATATTAGTGTGTGTGTATGGTGCAATGGGTAAATTTTTGGCATTTTATATTTTTCATTTCATGCATGTTTGTTTTTGATTTTGTCAACTGCACAGTAGTGTCAGTTGAGCACCATCTGTGAGAAAAAGAAGTGCAGTCAACAAAATCAAAGAACAAACATCACACATGTGCAACCCCCCTTTGATTATTATGTGTGGGATACAGTTGTGTGAGTGACCAACAAAACTCCTTGTAGCACCAAAGATGAACTGAAGGCAAGGATTATAGCAGCACTCACCAACTTAAACAAGAAGACCATCCAGAAGAATTAGAGGAGATTCCAAAGTTGTCTCAAGGCCGTAGTTGTGGCAATTTTATTGAATAAATTTACTCTTTAGTATTTCAAGATATTTTATTTAATTTTGATCTGTTAAAATGAGATGTCAGTGTTATTTTCATTTTCTTTAATTTAGACGACAATTTATTCATCGCATCCTGTGTGTGTGTGCGCACACACGCATGAAGGGGGTTCTGTAAAGCAATTCACAAAAAATTATGTTTAGTCACATTTTAGGAAGAGAGGCTGAGAATTTTTCACCATCCTTTATATATATATATATATATATATATATATATACCTAAATTTTTGTTCCTTATCTGGGTTGTTGAGCACAATGTCTTTTCAAATTAAGGTAAATTGTTTTTGTGTTTTTTTTTCTTTTTCTTGAATGTAGTTTGCCTTATTTTCTTTTGTTTATATAAAGAATTTCTTCAGAAAAATAGATTGTGTGTATGAGATGATGTAATAGGGTGTGTCTTTCATTTACCTGTAAATTTTTATATATCATAGATAAAATATTTTGGAGAGCAAAATCCCCTTCCCTCATTATTTCTGATTAGTTCTGACTTGAGTAAAGAATTTTTTTTTCTGTTTTACTCAACCAAAACATGTTAAATGAATGCAGCTGAGTGATATTCATTCACATTCATTTTATTAGAGAATAATTTAAATATATTCTATTCTGTGTTTCAACTTGCTTTGATAATTCTTTTACCAACTACTTTCTATTTCAAATCTTTACCCTTTTTTATTAAAGGAAAGAAATACGATGTTAAAAAGCATTCTTGTATTGTTATTGATAAAACTTAAGTCTTTAGATCAAACATAACATTAGTTAAAATTATAAAATCAAGTCCATGTTGGAAAAAAACATAAAAGAAGATATTTATTTACATGTGGATTATTGTCCTCATCTTTATTGTCACATTTCAGCCATTGGGCTCTTGATCTTCATCAGATGTATGTTGATCCAGGTAACCTACAGTATTCATATTTTAAGATATTTCCTGACAGTTGAATGGGCAGGGCATGGGGTGATCTTCTAAATGTATGGAGCTTGTTTGCTTTTTAGATAAGCATTCAAAATACTAGCTATTATCTCTGAATACTAACCACTAATACAAACAGGAAATCTGAAATTACATTAGCTATCAAGTAGGTCCTACTATAAAATTCTGGGTGTTTTAATTTCTGGAAGTTATTTTAAGATACTAACAAAGAAAATTAAATTTTGTGGGAAGCTAATACTAGATTGAAACCTTTTATGCTATTTAAATTTTATCTTTTTTCTCATTATAATAATTTCAGTTAAGGTTTTCTTAACAAACCTTATGTAAAGTTTGCTAATTGAAATTCTGAATGTTAGATTCATTGTCAAATCATTGTTATTCTTTTCTTTTGTAGGTTCAGTACAAAGTGTTTTTAATGATGGATCAAAAATCACTTGATCTGTTGGCTGATAATCTGGACATCAAATATGAAGTTCTTGACAATATTTGTCAGGGTCGAAAGATCTTTCAAGCAGCAATGACTCTAACCAACAAATGTTCAGTACCACTCTCCTATGGAGAGTGGGCAATCTACTTCTGCCACTTACGCATGATAGAACCCACCCATCTCTCAGAGAAGAAGTTTGCAATTCTCAAGGATTATGGAGTCAAATTTTCACAGATTGCTGGTTGCTTATTTAAATTGGAACCTGTTGATAATTTTAAGACACTCAACCAGAATGATTCCCTAAGAATTGTTTTTCTTGCTCAGTATTATTCTGTTGCCAAAACAGATGTTCTACCCAATTGGTACATGACATTTCCAAACCTACGTCCTCACATCATCAAATGTACAGCTAATGAAGAGCTCAGCTTTGTTGCTCAATTTGAAAATGCTTCCCAGTGGAAAAGGTATGACTATGAGATGTCCGATGGCAAACGTCGCTATGATGTCTATGATCCTTTCACTCCTGAGGTGCGTTTTGAGAGGAACAAATCCAGCTATGACACTGAAGAAGAGAAATCTACACCAAAACAAGTCATTCCTACACCATTGTATCTAGAAGTGAAGGAAGAAAGAACTGTCAATCTGAAAAATGGCAACTGGGTTATCCACTCCCATGAGGCTCTTTCTAAAGAAGCAGAATTTCTTGCAGGTTTCTTTTCACTTTTTCTTGTGATTTTCCAATTTATTGACCAACATGTATAACTTATTTTGGAGGGATTAAATCTGGTATTCAACCATTGAACCATATGCAAGAACCAATAATTTCTTTAGCCTTTGTTAAGCAAACCATCATCCCAACACCTAAAAAAATATTGAATTTTATAAAAATGTTACATAATTCCCTATCATCTTGCTGTCCTGTTTGTACACATCCTAAGCACAGCTGGGTTGATCACCTGTTTACATGTCCAGGGACAGCCACTGAAATCTATACCTAGTGACTGTAATGTAATCACTTTCTAGGTCAACCCTCTAAATCTCTGGTATGACAGAGTGCAAAACCTACTTTTGGTATCTCTTAGAATGAGCTCAGTACATATTGGAGTTGTCATAGAGCATGTCCTTTTAGAACAAAGGTTCCTTATTGACATTTAATTAGATTCAAACCCCTGGCACAAATCGAATACTACAGTAATTAAAGACATCTTGCTATTTTGGTTTGGCACAAAAGAAATTGAACATATATGAATATGAGATACTTTCTTTGATATTAATGAGTTATACTTGAGAATAATGTTAAAAGAAATGTAATAGAACTATTTTTTTCTGATAGTAGTGAAGGTAATTACAATTATCTCCCCTAGTTCTCATCAGATAAACTATTTCAATGGATCCAGGATATTGTAAGTATGACAGATCTTTTAGGAACAAAGAAAAAATGTTTACAATCATTGTTTCTTTGTAACATTATAAAGAAAACTTATTTTATAAATGCCATGTGTTCTTTCATTCAAATGAAGACAAAATATCACAATTGCTATAAACATGAATAACTTATTAAAATGTTTTTATTTGATTTAAACAAAATAAACAATTCTTTGTTATTTGTAAGGATTACAATTTTCACATCTAGATTCTTGAAATTGTTTAGGTTGTTCTTTGAATGATATAAAATATTAGTTAAATAGGTTTTAAAGTAAAAAATTAAATATATATATTTTTTTTCTAATAACTCTTAGTTTGAATCTTATGTCTTTACCATAGTTGAAAATATTTTCTCTTGTCCTGCACACATTTTCACTGTACAATATGGCATAAAACTTAAGTCAACATGCTATACCTACTTTGGTGCTCTGATTTTGTTCCCAATTTCAGGGCAAGTATTTTGTTACTTTCTCTGAATATTTCTTAAAATTGTTTAAATGATTTTTTTTTGTGTTTTTTTTTAATAGAGTCACTCAATCTCAAAATTGTCGCACAGCATCCAGTTTCCAAGTATATCAGTTTTCAACTTGTGCAAACTGTAGAGTTGCCGTCTCATGACCATCCCAGTATTCCTGAGGAGGCATATACATTGTCAGTTGATTGTGATAAAGAAACAGTTGTCATCACGTCATCTGCTAATCCAGGTTCTTTCTGGGCCATCCAGACTTTATTTTCTCTATTAAAAGATAACCAATTGCCACAAACTGAAGTGATTGATGCACCAAGATATTGTTACCGTGGCTTGCATGTAGATGTGGTGAGAAATTTTCATGGTAAACAGACCCTATTCAAATTAATTGATGGAATGGTGATGTACAAGATGAATAAGTTACATCTACATCTAACAGATGATGAAGGTTGGAGAATTGAGATCCCTGGTCTGGAAGAATTAACATCTGTAAGTTATTTGAATATTTGTTGTTTGTCATTAATTCTCAGTGGCTCATTATTTAGAATAATTTAGTGGAACTTGAAATTTTTTCCAAATCCCCTTGAAAGACATCACTAATTTGTAATTTCAAATCATCAAATTTAAGGATAGTGCATAAAAAGCCATAGGTGTTTGCAGAATACAAGCCAAGAAAGAGAAAGACTAAACCCACTTCAGTTGCTTTTGTAACATGAGAAGTGTAAGTAAAACTGTAAAAATGGTTATTGATTGATTAATGTAATTAAACACAATGCAGAAGTGTACAAGAAAAGATATGTAATTATAATGTTTGCACTGAAATTGTTTAATTGTATCATCATCTGAATTATATAAGTTATTTTTTGTGTGTTAAAAGAAAAGACATTTTTTTTATTCTTTCACTATATATTTTTAATATATATTGCACTTCATTTTTATTGAATGCAACAAAAATAATTTTCTGTTAATGACTTCATATTTTATTGAAATAAAAAAAAATGTAAAAGGGAAAATGCTAGCCTTTTGTCTCAATTATGAAGATGGATTTTTACCTATACTATCAAAACAATGACTAATATTTGCTTATATGTAAAAATATGAAAGTTTACCTAGCTATTTATTTTACCTTGTTTTTCATGACTAACATATGAACACCTTTTGTATAACGTCTTTTCCTTTCTCAGGTTGGTGGATTTCGTGGCCATAATACAGAGAGAAATTGTATTTTACCCTTGCTTGGTTCAGGCCCCGAGTGCAACACTTCTGGATCTGGTTACTATTCTGTGAAGGATTACCGAGAGATCTTGATGTATGCAACTAAACGTCATGTAGAAGTGATTCCAGAGATTGACATGCCAGGACATTGCAACGCTGCCATTCAAGCAACCAAATCTCGTTATGAGCGCCTTAAGAACGAGGGTAAAATTGAAGAGGCCAAGGAGTATCTTTTGCATGAATTACATACCAAAGGTCGCACACAGATGATTCAGTCTTGTCAAATGTTTAATGAAAATCTCCTAAACCCTGGAATGGAGTCAACATTTAAGTTTGTGGAAAAAGTTGTGTCAGCAATTAAAGAAATGCATGAAGATATTGCTCCATTAAAGGTATTCCATTATGGCGGTGATGAGGTGCCTATGGATATGTGGGAAGAATCTCCAGCTTGCCGAAATTTGTTTAAATCAAATGAAAACATATTTACACTTGATGATTTGTTAGAGTACTTTGTCCAGCAGGTTGCTGCTATTGTCCACAAGCATGGGCTCAATCTTGGAGCCTGGCAAGATGGGATGATGTCAGCAGAGGGACCATTTGAACGTTCCAGTCTTCCATCAAAAGATGTCCTTGTTTATGCTTGGCAAAATGTCTGGGAGTCTGGAAAAGCTAATGCTGCTTATCTACTGGCCAATGCAGGATATAAAGTAAGCTTCTTTTACACTGAATTGTACCATACATTTTATATATATATATATATATATATATATATATATATATATACACACACACACAGTTCTATCCTATAAATGTTATCTTGCTTTATTAACTGATCCAGATAATGATTTCATTTTTTTTCTTTTTAAGGATATATATTTCTGATTAAGTTATAGAATTCATTCAAGGGAAAGGATTCCTTTTGTCTATAGTAGACTTTTCATTTCAAAATATATACTGCATAGAATTTATTTCTTAAGGATTACATTTATCAGATTAACTATTCCCAATTCTTCAGTGCTGTGATATACCTAACTACAACCGGCTTGTGTGTTAGTGTTAGTCTTATTCACAGCATATTGCAACAACCATAGCAGTGCCTTGTACTGTTTGGTGATTGGTAGACAGACAACACAAATCTGGTCTCCAACTCTCTTCATTTCATTAGGCTGAAAAGGAAAACTCTTAGGTTTTGAGAAATTTCTTCAATTGGTAAAATCATTTTCTGATAGTATATTGCAAGGGATGGTGGAGTAGGTAGTGAAGAGAGGTGGTGGTGTCAACTCATCTGCTACATTTCATCATCTGCTTGTGCCCCCCGCTTTTTCTGACTGATCCATACTTCTGTACCATACTGCCCGCCTATATATAAGGAATATGTTCCTTTCAAATGTTAGGAGTTGATTTGCATACATGCTTATTAACAGGGAAAGGTTTTGATGACTTCATTTCTCAGTCTCTCATTGGTGAGATTAGGTGAATTCCTAACCTATTATACAATCAAGGCAAAAAGGGCGAATGGGATAAAAAAAAAAACATACTAATTTGGAGTTTTGGAGATCTAACTTAGTTTTGAGTGAGCTGGTTTATTGCAATTGTCCACCTGTAAGTAGGGTGAGAGGTTGGTTTGTTTTGATTCACTTGAGCCTATGAATTAAAACAAGTACTAATTCATTTTATTGTAATTAAATCCTTTTCATTTTTGCAAAAACCTATTATAAAAACCAAGCTCCAAGGTATTTCTGGTATGCTAGTAAAATCTAAATTCCCTTTGCTATCTAGGTTTTTCACATCAACTTCTCAAGTTGGTTCCCATTCCAAGTGGGACCAGTTATGAATTCACTTGCTGCTAAAATCCACTCCAGTAACTGTTACAATTCCTCCCTTAACCACTTGTAATTTATCCTAATTGGTAAATGACAACCACAGCCATTCTCATTCAAACCAGCCACTACTTATTGATTCACTTATTAGTAAAATCTACACCAGTAACTCTGTTATATTATTAAAGAAAATGTGTCACTTGGCCAGTGATTGAACCTATATTCTCTTTAATCTGGGAAAACCACCTTTAAGATTGTTGTGTTTTTAACTGCTAGCTTTAAAGCTAGTTTTCTCAGGTTAGAGAATGCAGATTTGATCTTTGCTAAGAGGTACATATTAAAGAAAATGTCTTTTGGCAGTGTTCGAACCTCATTAAAGACTTTCATTGCCCAGATTTGTAGTTATCAATTTTGTTTATAACTGATGTCTACTCGTATACTTGTTTCCACCAAATATAACATTTACAATAAAAAAGAAATAATGTTTGACTAAAACATCCATTAATTACTTATATATGAGAGAGAAAAAGGAGTCCGTTTTTTTTTTTATAAATAGGGAACAATTTATTATAAGGTAGGAGAAAGAAATATATGCAAACATGAAATATATCATTAGATAGGCAGATTCAATATCTACTATAAGGGTCTCTGGCCCTTTCCATCTAAACACATTGTTTTAGTACTGGCTACTAGTGGTTGAACTTTCTTCAGTGGCTATGTAAGCTGATGGTTCTAGTCTCTTATTTTCTTATTGAATGTTCTTGTCTCTTTCTATTCACTTTATAATGAACATTCAGAAATGTGTACAATAAATGTTTTATTAACACTGTATTACACACAAAGCAAGCAATGAAAATGTTCAGCTTGAAAATAAGAAAACTTGTTTAAAAGTATAGACAATTAGCTTAATGTCATAATCACACAAATAGATTTGCTCAACATTTAAACCTATAACCAAGATAATTTACTTTTTCATATTTTAATTTCTTCCCTGTTTATTTTTACTTTTGATGCATGCTTTCTTTGTGTAAAAGTTCATGAAATAGCAGTTGTCACAAGTCATGCCAGATACTCTGGATTTTTTCTTTGTTACTTAGCTTGATATCTAAAACTAAAAGCTGCTTCTATTTCATCACCTATTTTCCTAAATGAAACTCTTTGAGGTGAATGAACTTGTTGTTTTTCAAGGGAAGCTTCTAATTTTAACTTTCACAGAACCCTAATCTTTTAGAATGATTTCAATCCAGTAATTTGACTTCTAGAAAATGCAATTAGGAGTTATTTAGATAATTATCATTTGATTTTTCTCTTTATCAACTACATACATCATTGCCATGGTTATTTTGTATTATCACTAAAAGACTTACTCTTTTGTACAAACAAATATTCTTTAATTGTTATATTGCTTATAAAAAAACTCTTTCAGGTATAATAATTAATGCAAAAAATTTTATTTTCTTAAATGCAAACTGAAATATCAAAATGGTAATTATGTCAACTTTGTCATAAATGTTTTGTACTGCACAGATAAAAAAAAAAATGAGAAATATCTTTGTTTCATTCTGTTTTCTTTTCTTCATCACTCTTGCATCTCTTCTATCCTGCATTTCTTTGCATACATTGTGATTTGCTTTTGAGATTCGGCTTTCATTCAGAATGTTTTCACCATTTGCAGGTGGTCATGTCTCAAGCTACTCACCTTTATTTTGATCATCCCTATGAACCTGACCCTGAGGAGCGAGGGTTATATTGGGCAGCTCGTTTCATTGACACAGAAAAAGTGTTTAAATTTATTCCTGATGATTTGTATTCCAATGCAGACTACAAACTGACAGGCGAGCCTCTTTCTATGAAAGATATTAAAGCTTATGAGAAAAGAATTGTAAAGTTGAAAATTCCAGAAAATATTATTGGTAAGTTCAGAATGACATTTTTCAATGAAAGTTAAAAAAATTTGTATAAGTTTTGCTTTAACAAGTTGATTTTAATTTTTCTTCTTTAAATATTGTTGAGTTAAATATAAAAAACAAACATTAACTGGCTGGATAGTTTATTTCTCATGTTTATTCCCATGTACTTTGCTTCATTGGTAGAACATAAGAGTCTTGGGTTTTGGGCTTTGTGTTGAGAGATGGAGCCATGGAGACTTGGGTGTATCTGCCTGGTTCATAACTTTATAAGAATTGTCCAAAATATTATATAAAGCATTTAAGTAGGGTAAATATTTCTGAATTTAGTGTTCCTGCTCTGCACAATCATAATTTCAATATTGTGCAAGGTATAGAAATTGACATGTTAGTGCGTTACACTAATATGAGATCAACAACCATTTTTTTAAAAAAAAGTTTTATTTGATAATACATACCCATTAAGTAATATTTGATACAATAAAACTCCATTTATAAGAGCCTTACTTATAAACTAAATTTGGGATCATTTTTTTTTTTTTTTTTTTTGCAGTTAAGAAAAACAAACAAAATTTCCATTCTGTCAACTTTTATATTTGCAAATATTCCTGACATAGCCCAGGTTTTTTATACAAAAGATGACAAATGTGCTTTTAAAATGAATTGTGCCATAAATGTCTAACAATATAGATTCTTTGTTTCTCCAACTTTATGGTAATTTAAATGAATTTGTGAAATTTATAACAGCCTTTAAACTTTTGCTAGGGTCATGTGATCTCTACATTCAATGAAACATTTGGAAAGTGTCATGTCCTAGATGAGTATTTTTGAAAACCATTTTAGAATAATGACTAAAAATTGGTTCCTTGTTTTATTTAAATTGTATATCAGCATTCAAAAAAGGCTTTAGCAATTTTTGAACCAAAAAGAAATATAAAGTTGTCAGATTACAGCTCAATCCATCTATTACTTTCACAACCTGAATATAAATTGTATATTTGACTGTTTAAAGAATAATCATTAAATGAAGCTGATCTTTCAAACTGAACAAAAGCTCTATAATATTTTTCAAGGTGGAGCAACAAATGAATTAATGAAAGTCTTGAACAAATATATAAAAGTAATTAAGTAACAATATGTTAAACCAACTGACAAGGAAGAAGTTTTAAGGTTATCTCAGTTCCAAAAATAATGTGCACAGTAATTAAATTCTTGATGTTTCATTCTCTAAAACTTATATTGAGCTGAATAGAATGAAAGAGTTAAAACAGTAAGACTAAACTATTGCTGGTTCATGATGATCAAGACAATTTGATTTTGCATTTTAATTCAACTTCAAGTTATAATAATTTAACTTTTGCAGGAGTTCAAGGTCAGCTTTGGTCAGAATTGGTACGAACGTCTGATCAATTGGAAAGTATGATTTTCCCTCGGTTAATTGCAATGGCTGAGCGCGCATGGCACAAAGCATCATGGGAGAATGAGACTGACAAAACCAAGAGAGATGCTGAATCAAAAAAAGATTGGGCAGCATTTGCTAATAGCCTTGGATCAAAAGAACTTGCTCGATTGGATGCTTTACAGATAGCCTATCATATAGTGCCTCCCGGTGCACGGTTAGTACTGTTACTGTTAATTCCTTTTATTTTTTAGCAGCCATTCTAGTAATTCAATAAAAATGAGTTAATCTGCTTTATGTTGCATAGAGATAGAGAAATAAAACATTACACTTTTTTTTTTAATAGAAAATCATCAATACAAATTGTTAAGCATCCAGTTGATGTATACACAAAAGAAATAAGATTTTGTGGATCTTAAAATTGGTAAAAGATTAATCAGTTGATTAATCAAATAGAAAATTGCTTTCATTGACTACTTTGCTTATATCTGGTTCAAGCTGCTTGTGCTAATTCTTAATACTGCTTGAAGATTTGAATTTGTCAAAAGAGATCTATTTTTGCTTTTTGATAATTTTCATACTTGAAAAAGTTTGCTCACATATGTAAGTGGATGCAAACACAACAAACAATTTCTTGAAAAGTCTTTCAAATTTTTTAAATGCTCTGGGTGAAGAGATGCATAAAATTTAATTAAAGATTTGTTTTCAAAGCTATACTTTAACACATTGTCAGCTTGGAGGTCTATGAGTTCCATTTGTAGTTCATTAGTCACAGCTTCAATGTCAAAGGTGAATGGAGACCCCAGTATGTTGAACTACAGCTCCATTGCTTTGAAATCTGTAAATCTCTTAGCAAATTCTTCCTTCAAGGCTTTGATCTGTCCACTGTATTTTTGTGTAGATGTATATTCAATAGGCTGATCTTTCAGAAGGGGGGGGGGAAGTGAGCAAAGTTTTGATTGGACAGTTGTTTAGCAAAAAGTGTAAGCTTTGTCTGGAAGGATTTTACCTCCACAAATAAATCATGAGCAAAGACACATTTCACTAAAATAAAGGATGCAGAATGGGTGTGTGATTTTTGCATTTGCTACGGATACTGAAAAAAATGAATGAGCTCAACACAAAACTTCAAGTGACTCACTAAATCTTGTTTACAAATATCCTGCAAAATGATAAACTAAAATTCAAATCCAAACAGAATTATTACAAATGTTTCTTCTGAGAAGTTTTTATACAATTTTTAAATACCTGGAAAGTTTTTTTTTATTAAATTTGTAAATATTATAAAAATAATAGAGGACGATATTAAAGCCTTGGTATGCCAGATGTAGCCCGCAGGCTGTAATTTGCCCACCTCTGGTATAGATAATACATTTTCAGCTTATGCATTTACACTAGCATTGAAATGAATAATATTTTGATTTAAGTTTAAACTTCTTTAGATTATTTATTTCTGAAATTAAAACCTGAACATTTAATGTCTGCTTTAATACTTGTAACTGCTCTACAATAATCCTTCTGATTTATCCAACAAAAGAAAAGTATTAAAATTTACTTATGGTGATGAAAAACTCATGTGAAGTAATGGAATTGTCTTCAAATATTTTAGCTTTGAACAAGATGGACAGTTAAAGATGAACTGCACATATCCAGGTCTTCCTATCCAATACAGTATTGATGAAGGTGAGACATGGACAACTCATTCAGGAGAACCCGTATACATTCCAAGTGAATCTAGAGTTATTCTTCAAACTAGGTGAGGATAATCTCTTTTATTTCATTTTTTTCTTTGTAATTATAACTGATTAAGTATGCAATAACATTATTTAAATTTTATATTCATGCAATTTTCTTTTTATAATTGATGTTCTAATGCTTATTATTCAGAGTACATGTTAATTGAACTTATGTATTTTAAGGTTTATGTTCCAGTTTAAATGTGTTGATAATGTCAGTGTCTCATTAAATCATGTATTTAAAATTCTATTAACTTTTTTATATATGATGACTAAAAGTTTACTGACTTTTTCTTTCTTTGAGCAGCTCAACAGATAGATATCGATCAAGTCGGCAAATTGAAATGTCAGTTCCAACCAACAGTTAATTCAAATCTCAACATCATATATCCAGTATGGAACAGCAACAGTTTCTGCTTTCATCAGTTCATTACCATTATATAGAAATATGAAATATTTGCAACAATATAACTCCTGAAGACCATTATTGAAGCTTATGTATGTGTGTACCAGGTTTCTGGATGGACAGATGCAACTTATCCCAGGTGAAAAAGCTCTTCTCATCATTTGATGTAAACCCTGGCCAGATAAGGTGCACTCCAAAACAAAATTGTGGAAACAGGAGATGAATTTTTTTTGTGTAACCTAAAAGACATTTAACTTAATAATAAGACAGTTCAGTCAGTAAATCAAAAGCTGTTAAAAGCTTTCTACTTTACTCTTTTCCAGTTACTTCAAGAAAATTCTTTGCTGATGCAAGAAAATGGCTAGGTTTTATAAATCGACAATTTTAAAAATTCTATTGCATGCATTTCACCTGCCTCTGCATTAACTACCGTCCAGAACTTGGCCCAGTATTCATAACATTGGAATCTCCAGATTTTTAGAACTCTCTTCCCAAAATACCACCATTGTATCAGAATCCCAATTAACCTCCAACTTTTCTTTTCTATCCCCATCTTTCTTTTACTCTCAAGAGATTTTTTAAGTTAGCAGTCTAATATTTAAGAGATGAGGTATAATTGGCATGCATGAATTTATTTAAACTAATAAATTTTATACTCCATGCACTCCTCTTCATCTTTAGTTTTGAATGGTGAGGCAACTGATTTAGATTTATATACTGTAATTTCTTCCTATTACAGAGTACTGGGCAAAAAGAAAAGAAGAAAAGGCTGTCTATTATCACTAAAATTTCTAGAATAATTTTTAGTTTTCATGCTGTATTTACAAAAGCATAGTATTTCATCTGAAGATGATTGGACAATGCACTTTTTGGAAAGTAAAAATAGTAAAGTACCATTTTAAAAGAAAAAAAGGAGGATTTTAGTCTAAATTAACTGTTAAGTGCAAAGAGCTTCTTCCAGCCATTTTCTAATTGTTTCCAAGAGCATGGATTCATTTTCTGCTGAAACTTTTAGGTCTTTTTTTTTTTTTTTTTCTTTGAACTCTCTTTCTTATTTCAGGCAATATTTTGGTTTGACAATCACTTTTAACAGCTCCATATTGAAGCTGATAAAGGCCCCAAAACAATTGTCACAATCATGGTTAAAATGCACTTGTAAAATATGAGAAAATCTAAGCAGAAAATTCTCTAATTTTTTTAAAAATTTGGAAAAAATGCTAAAAACTCATTGATTTATGTGAATTTAAACAATGCCTGAAAGCCTTTCTACACTAGAATAATGACACACACACTCGGGCAACAATCTTTCCTTTGTTCAAGCAACTTTTTTTTTTCTTTTTGTACTGATGCAAAGCAAAATAAAATAACAAAAACCTGTTCCTGAAATTGTTGTTTTTTGACTTTCTTCTGAAATTATCACCCGTTGAAAAGAAAACATTTTTCTTTTTTATAATGGGTTTATGTAAGTATATCAAATAGTCTATCACATAATGAGGAAAACATTGCACATGTTTATTTTCCAACATAATCTCCTTCCCTCTTAGCTCAACCCAATGCTTTTCTATGGCTGACATAGATCAAATATTACAGAGTGAAAACTTCTGACAAAAAAATCAGCTAATAACTGTCAGACTATGGACTTATTGATCCACTCATATTTTTAGGCAAAATTTGTATCAATATTCATTGCTGTTAATTGAATTTATTAAAATTAACTACATTCTGCAATGTGTATGTATTAGTATCTTATTAGTACAAAACTAATCTCTACTGAGCCATGAAGGCAACTGAAACTCATTATCCAAAATTTGGCCAAGTTGCACTCATGAGGCAATGCAAGTACAAATGTTCTAAGCTTTGAAAGAGGCTGAGGAAGGACAAAAAATATTGAACATTAATCTTTCATAATTCTTGAGAAAATCTTAAACAAAAATGCTTGAAAGATAATCCACTTAGGTCAAAGTTAACAAGTTTATAGTGGTGGAATTACATATACTTTTTTTTTAATTAATGTTTCATTGAATTATTTCTTTTCATGTATACTTTGATTGATGTATTTGGCTGCCCATTACCAGGTGAGGGCTAGCTATCAAAGTAGTTCTGATGCCATCCGTTAGAGTGCATGTCATGATGTAGAGATGAGCATAGCACTTCATAAGTTGAATCATACTATGACGACTTGTTTAAAACTGGACCAGCGTGCACTAATATATATTGTTATCATTTAGGCATTATAATAGAAGTGGTTAAACTTGCTTAGCATAAAAGCGACTTACCTCAGATGTTTGAAAGTACATAAGTAAAAATTTACATACATTGAACCAAATATCTGTTGACGTAATCTAATTTCACATATTCGCTTCAAGCATTCGTTATATGTATCATACAATTAAAACATTAATAAACCCAATTTTTAATGCATGCTTAAATTAGGCTAACATTACAAGAATTAAACACCATGATATATGCACATGGCGTCTACACAACCCAAACAGAATTTAAACGTTGATACATGTTATACCACCCAACCACCATTATACATGTGATATCTACTCAACCAATGAAAACAAAGTAGCATAGAATTTAAAAATGGAACCCACTCTACAAATTATTCAACTTCCACATATTTCTGATGAAGCTAAATAGCAAAACATCAAATTTAAAAGATTTTCTTCGTAGTTCCTTATTTGATCATTCATTTATTAACTATCGCTATTAATTACTAATTATTATTATTATTTGAATATTGGCTTCTGGACAGTGGTGGGCCTACATTTTTGGATATCCTTCACAACCAGCAACAATAGATTTGAGGATCCAACTTCCAAAATGTAGGCTGTGAATAGATTCCAGCACATTTAATGAGCTCATACAGCTGGGGGGGTTCAGGTGCTGCAAGCTCCCAAAGTTTTGAAATTTGACTATTTACAGGGGAATTTTGAGGCCATGTATGAAATGGGATATTAGAGCCTATTCTAAGGCCAGCATTAGCTATTTCAACCCATTTGCTTATTATTCTATCACTAAAATGGCCTTATTTTAATAAGAAGCACTTAAAAAAAAAAAAAAGTTGCGTTCAGTGGCTCCTCTGGGATTAAGGACCCCTGAAGCTTAAGCTTCATTAGTTTCATAGTAGATCCATCACTGCTTCTAGGAAGTATTGAGTATTCTTTGTTGAAGTGTTAATATTAATACTGTTAGTGGTTATATTATGAATAGTAACTGTTAACTGATGAAATTTGTGATTTTGCATTTAACACCATCACTTGATAAGACACCAGTAGTGTTGAAACAAAATTGCAATTTTTGTAGTGATGTTATGCATATATTATAATTTTGAATAATTGTTATTAGCTCTACTCAGTATTGAGCACTCTTTTAAGAATAGTGGTTTTGGTTATTGGAATTTTATTCTATCTGTACCAACCCTGTACTTGGGTGTGTATGTATATGTGTGTATATATATATATATATATAAAGAGGAATTGCTACCCAAATACGCAATTATTTACATGCCCCCCCCCCAACAGCCGACAAGGAAAATAACTGCAGTGCCTTGTAAGTCATTTTTAATAAAACAAAAGAGGGATTGCTGCCAAAATACACACATATATATATATATATTGTGGTAGTAGGGGTATATTGAAATCATGCTGTGGTTACCAAACTATTGCAGCACTGCTCCCAGTTAGGATATGACAACAATATTTTACACATGAAAATGATGGATGAAAGGAAATAGAATGAATTTCAACAAGGCAATATTTTATATTTTTTTGTTTTTATATAACTGAGTAACAAGAAAGAAAATACACAGTGTGCATGCATAAAAATTAAGAATTGTGACAGGGATATGTGTGTGTGTGTGTGTGTGTGTGGAAGTTCAGTCACCTGGGGAAAAAGATTCCCATGTTCAAGAATAAGGTCCTGTTGGAGTTACTTCTGCTATATGCTAGAAGGAAAAGACAGGAAGTATCTCATTGCTATAGGTGCTTGACAGCACCACCTAATGACTTATTAGCAAAACTGATGAAGCTATATATGAGATAAAACACAATATATATGTGTGTATGCATTTGAGTTGTAGATAAAAAAGGTGATTATCTACCTTTGCTTGAGATGCAGTCACATGGGTCACGTGATGGCCATTTAGTGATGTCACTTCATAGAGTGACAAAAGTGGTCAGTCCATTAGTCAGCTTCCAGGAGTCAAACCAAACAGCTGCTTTTTAGCCCAGCTCCCTCTGTCCCTCTGCTCACAAGAACATGATGCCATTTTTCTTTGTGAAATATATCTTCACCAGATATAGAAACTATGCCCAGATCTCAGTCCTCATGTTGAAAAAAACCTATGATTCGCCATTTTCTGTTTGAGAGGAATATGTCCTCACTAGTGACAAGGCAGATAAAACTGGTCCGCTCAAATCTGGAATCCTAAATAGGGCTTCTCTAGAAACACAGAAAAATCCTCTGGCAGCTTTAATTCCTGTTTGGAATTATTACAAGACCCGATCTTTTCATTTCCTTTTCGCACTGCTTGTTGTGTAGATGTGTTATAGTTTCTCTGTGTTAGGCAAATGTAAATATGTGTATATAATTTGGTGTATGACTTAGCAGTATAGTCCTTCTAAGAACAAATCATGTTTATCATTCCTTTTCTTTCAGCTATTCTGTTCCATCTGTCTATTAAGATGTTATTATATCATGGATATAATAATGTTCATAATAGGGGAAATGAAAACTGTGAGAATAAACTTTTCTCACATAACACTTCCATTATCTAGTGTACCCAACATGATATATTATTAACCCCCATTAGGGTGTTAGGAAAGTTATTACATTTTATCAGAAAAGATATAAAAACAAATGTAAGATAAATTTATTTAAATAATATTTATATAATAAATAATAATAATAATTTAATAATTATCTTCATTTTCAATGACTGTAACCAAATAAGAT